TTGTGTGTGCCAAACGCTAATGTGTTTCTGTTCATGTGATGGTACATATTACATGAGGACATATATGTCCTGAGAAATAGCTCGTTCAAAAGTAACATTCATTATGAAAGACCCTGATGCTGAAGGCGAGTGTGACGTCTGAGTCTGACCAAGCACCAGTGACGTACTGAGGGCTGAGGTGGATATGAGAGGCAGCCCCCCCCCGCCCCCCACACACCACCACCACCACACCTCACCACCACCACCACCACTCCCCGTTGTTGTCCATAATGGCTTCACGGTATGACACCTCGCACCTGGCAGGGGGAGCACAGCTCACAGGCACCTGCATTAGGGCTTCACGGTGGCTCGCAAACAGTAAATACTCACGATTATCCAGGACAGCACCGCTGAAAAAAACGGCGTCTCGTATGTTATCAAAAGTGTCACAATGTGTCTGCCAGCATAACAAATGTTTAAGATAAAAAGCACAAAGTGGACAAGCTCCATTAGCTGGCTGCAAAAGAGACGCATGGCACATGCTTTCAGTCGATTTTGGGCTTCAATGAGGGTAATTTGGGAGATACCGTGATGATATATTTTCACACATTCTGTTCCACATCACACCACAATGCGTCCGCTTCCATTTTATCAATACCCAAACAAAACTAATGCATAATTATTAACAAAACAATATTTACATAAAATAGAAGCTTTGCTGAATGCTGATACGCAATATTATGCCAATAGTTTGTCTGTCCTTAAAAAACGCTTAGTTTCTTTTTATTTGCACAACGTTCCATTTTGAATGACATCAGCCCGTTTAGTAGCAGGCCCTTCTGACCTGTTGCGTTGTGCGTCGTTAGCACTTTTGGCAGTAGCTCCTCGCAACATTGCATCCATTCCATGGCGGTGTACGAGCAATAGATTAATTTCCAGATAGGTAACGGGTACTGCTTCAAGTGGAATGAATAGTTCAAGGACACCGTTTAACTGGTTTTCACATTTCGTGACGTTTATGACCTTACGATAAGTAAAAAACGCATAAAACATTCATATTGTCTGCACATAATGGCAACAGAAGCTTTCAGGGAAGCTCCATTCTCGTTACTAAAGGCTTAACAAAGTCGCATTGTAATTTAAAATTTTGCCTCCTTTACCTCCTTATGAACAGCTTGCTAATCTACAGCCATGTATGTACCCATAAATTCGCGGTTGTGCCAGTCATGCTGGTTAAATCGGCTTATGGCTGATACCGCACATCAAAAGCCCGATCGTGAGCTTGAGGTACGATCGCAGCCACTTAATTTATCATGGGACACTATCAGCATCTTTTTGTTTTGTGCGACTGCTTTCTTGCGAATAAGTACTATGCTTATGTGTCCAGTTGCTCTGCATTTTATGTGGCCCTGTTTTTACGCCAGTGTTATTGATGGTTTCTCAGAGTCAAGAAAATAGGAGCACGACACTGAAAAGTACAATAAACACATTGCACAAGCATATCATACGGCGCAATAGAGTTAAAAGTCAGCCGATAAACAATCGTCTTTAGTTGCATCTGTGGCCTCGGACAACAAATGAAAAATATGACACCAAAAAGGAAAATGTCTTGCTGCGGTGAAACAACAGCAAAAGCGACATCGATAGTCTCCGTAGTCCTGACCATTGAATAGTGACCTATCTGCAATTACGTAAAAAAGAAATATTTTTGAATAGTTTCAATCTTGCTAAAAGAAAATTGCCTTATGTTCCGGAAGCCAATAAAAACTCTTCTAATATCTCCTAAAGCTCCTATCAGAGCTTTCTATCAGAAATCTTTCCCAATAATGGCATTGAAGGGCGTTACAGGAAAAATGTCTGACAAATGACTGACCTTTCTTGTGAGTTGTGTGCTGTCGTCTTTGCATACCACTAGAGTGCAAAACGAACGACGATAGGAAATGAGCTGCTGTAGCATATCATCCCTGCAACAACGCACGATGCATCTGAAAAAGACCTGGTATAGGTACCTACAATACAAATGCATATGGCCATTTGCTATCAAATTCTATCGTAAAAACGATAGCAAGCTCTGTCAAATGCACTGATCTGAGATAAAGAACTAAAGAAACAAGAAGCAATGCTGGATATATCGTTCCTTGGTCACAACAACGAGGATTTGATGCAGAAAATTAAAATCAGTAAATTTTTGTAAGCGTTTTTTTCAAGAATGCCTTGGATATTTTCTCTTTTTTTTCTTTGTCTGTATGAACTTGACCTTCCTTTTTGGTTTAGCGATGTGTGCCTAGAACTGTGCGTAGTTTGAGCAATGAGCATGCCACATCCTCCACTAAGGTGTCACCTCAGTTTCTGATGGAGTCGTGACCTCACTGTCCCGGATACGTCACTGCTTCCCCCCCCCCCCCCCCCACCTACCCAACAGACACCCTTGGGATGACCGATCGGCTCTCGGGTTATTACTCGTCCCTGGTGATTCGTCTTTGTCCGCCCGCCCCCCGCTACTGCGAGAGACAGCCGGACGGAAAGGGTCACCAAGTGACCTCTCGACACCCAGCTGCTGACCTGACCCGTCCCGTGCCCTCAGGAAACGATCGACAGACGAGCAGCCCCGACGCGGACGCCGCAGGGCGCATGCGCCCGGCTCACCAATCAGCGGAGAAGGCTGGCGGCCGGCGCGCCGCTGCGCCCGGCGCCGACCCGGTAAGTTATCTAATATGCCCGGATTGCACGGGTAGCGCGCCGTCACCCGCCGCTCCGTGTTGAGACCCGTGCGCCCGCGCGCCGAGCCAGCCCAGTGACATGTCGAGCGGGGAGCGCCAGTCGGCCGCCGCGCGCCGCCGCCGCTGACTGCGCTGTGCTGTCCGAGAGCGCCACTGAGCGCCGCCGTCCGTCCATCTGTGCGGGACTGAGCGCCACCCAGCCCATGAGCGCGCCGTATCCGGCCGTCAGCACTGCGGCCGGCGCGCGCGAGGTGGGCGTGGTGAGCCCGCGCGTGGCCGCGCCGTGCCCGCCGTGCCCCGGCGACACCATGGAACGGCCGCGGCCCGGCCTGGCCGGCTCAGCGTTCGCCGTCTCGCCGTACGGCCGGCCGCCGCCCGGCTACGGCCCGGCACGGCCGCCGCTGCCGCCGCCCGCCTACGGCTGGATGCCCGCCCGCCTGGGCGACACTGGCGGAGACGAGTACGAGCGGGCCGTGCAGCGCTACAGCCGCGCCCAGGCCGACCTGGCGCTGCGACAGCACTGGCTGCACACCTTCCGACAGAACGTGAGTGGCGGCGCCGCCCCCGCCCCCAAGCAGGACGGCAATCCAAACCACATTCGTCCCAGTGTGTCATTTGTCAACGGCTGGCTGCCCCCTCCGGCTTACTTGTGGCTCATTTCCCCTCTGCTTTCTTCGTTGCTAAATGGAGGGTGACCAATGACCATTCAAACAGATACGATGGTGTATTCCTTACATGGTGACACCCCCTTCAACTACTCATCCCCAACACAATGACTCCATCCAGCCGGGACCATTTCAGTCGACGCTCCTTACAACCACTCAGCAGTTCACCCTCCATTTGTACAAACATGAAATGAATCTTTCAAACCTGAACATGAGATATAAACACCACACGGATCTAACAGATCTGAGCAGCAATATGGACATGACGGATCTGGACGGATCTTTCACGGATCTTTCGGATGTAAATTGCATACGAATGTGGGATCTAAACAGCATAGGATCTGACGGATCTAAACCCCGCGTGGATAACGAACCCGAACTGCTTTTTGTCCAGCGTGACCTCACGCAGACTTCTACCGGCCATGGTGCGGCGTCTTGTTTGGTAGAGAGTGGCATGGCCACAATGTTTCCACCCCGAACACTTACGCGAGGAATGCCATCGCTGTCCCCCTTGGAGCTCTGTTTGCCGCGCTGACAGTTGGCGTGACCTTTGTCGAGGTCATGTCAGGTGTGACGGACTCGTTACAGATCCAAATAAAAAAGGTAACGGACCAATGGCAACGGAAGACAGGTGTGCGATCCACCCTACAGCATAAGTGATAACATATTTCATTTTGAAAGAACGAATGGAGAGTCTTAGAGCGATTTCCTACGACATTTTTTGATGCACCATTAGTATAATCGTTATTTTAGTGCCTCACTAAATTTACGCATAAAAATTTACATGTTCAGTCGGCAAATAAGACAGAGTGGTCACTGGTCTTGCACATAGGCGGCGGAACGAGGGGGCACCGGGGCACCTTTCCCCCCTTTGATTTTTGGTATTTTAACATTAGCTCTATGGGCGTTGCATGGAAAGAATGGGACCAAAAGTCGGCAGTGCCCCCTTAATTGAAGGTGTTACGCCACCACTGGTCTTGCACACATTATTTCAAGAAAGTCCTGGTTATATTGATGATCACTTTTGTTGAGATAAGCAAATGCACATTGTACGAATTGCAACGCACACGAATGTACAAATCCTGATAATATTGCATTCCTTTCTTGAAAGTTCCTGTTCTCACATGATACTCATGAACAAATACGGCATTCTTATCCAAGTTACATATGCAATCGAACTATGTTTGAGTCCAAGTTTTCGTTTTGGAGGCGATGAACGCCGGACCTTTTTCTATAAAGACGTACTTCGATAAATACATATAGAAAATTCAAATCAAGATCAAGATCAAGACACTGTTTTCCAATGCTTCTATTTTGCAGGTCTTAAGGCAATCATGCAAAAATATTCAGGGAGCGTTGCAAAAAAAAGGAAGGAAACAACATCTTAGCTGAATAGTTCAGACAAATGCACGCTTACTTTCAACGGAGGCATGGTAAGAGACATGTGTGGGTGCCCATAGATAAGAAGTAAAAAAGAGAAACATTTTGAGATATTTTTCAGAATGTTGAACTTATATATTTCAAATTGTTGCATCTGAAGTTGTACTTTTGTTTGAAAACAAATAAAACAATACTTTCTTTTGTGTATGCCACTACAAAGCCTAGTGATAGTTTGTATAGTTCCAATCTTCCAGCCTCCTGACATTTTTTTTTTGTGGCAGTATCTGGCAATTTGAGTATCCTTGGGGACCTGAAAGATCCGCCTTTCCAAAATATTATCGGCACTTACACGTGAGCGCTTACATTGGTCACAATTTTGAGTTTATTTTTACATGTGTAAATGTGTATCATATTTCACCGTTTCTGTTTCGTCTCGCGATGGGCCTCTGCAAACACCGTGCATGTGTTCGAGACGGCGCGGCGGTAGTGAGCCGTGCAGAGGGTGCTTCTCACCCTATCCATCAGTGCCAGTGTACCCTGTTCGCACCGGAACAGTCCCCAGTCCCGGTAGCGCTGGAGGAGTCCCAATAGCGGCAGAGGAGCCCCGTAATGCCGGAGGAACACGGGTAGCGCCGGAGGAACCCCGGTAGCAGCTCCATAGGAACCCCAGTAGCGCTGGAAGAATCCTGGTAGTGCTGGAGGAACCCCAGTCCGCGCCAGGCGAACTCTAGAAATGACGGAGGAACCCCGGTAGCGGTGAGGAACCCAGTAGCGACGGAGGAACCCCGGTCATCGCCGGAGGAACCCCGGTCATCGCCGGAGGAACCCCGGTAGTGGTGGAGGAACCCCGGTAGCGGCGCTGTGACAAAGGATGACACACTGTGGGAAAGATTCGGGCTTCGGCAGGGGCATTCCACGTCAAATCAAACACCGAAATCCGTCATCCCCTTCGATTTTTCTGAAAATTTGTAGGCAGACTGGGCATGGTTCAAAACTGAGTTACGTATAATATTTTCAAAATTTGATAACGTATCGCTGAGATATAGGTCATCGAATATAGCGAAAAATGCCACACATCAATTTTTTAAATGGCTATAACTCTGGTTCCTTTTCTGGTATCAAAATGATGTTAACAGGGTCTTATAGGCAATTGATAAGGCTTTGATTTTTAATTATAAAATTAAATTGAAGTGACCTTGAAATGCATTTGACCTTGAATTAAAACAGAAAAATTTAAATAGCAAAAAACACGTCACCTTCGATTTGGGTAATTTTTACATATTATGTCCGTCACAATGTTCCTAACCATCTGTGAAAAAATTGGAGTGGGCCATTCATAACTTTCGCGGCAAACGCCGTTTTCATGCATCAACATCACGCAACCGCGCGTGACCTTGAAAGACAGAGTCAAGACATGCTTGCTTGTGTACACTTTCTGAAATGAATGATTGCTGATTAGTGATATCCCAAACTCTGCGAGAATGGAAATGCATAGTCATCGTAGTCAAGCATTCACGTTCCATAGTAAAAGTGTCTCAGGCAAACGGTATTTTGCGGTGAATTTTGAGCCGTGTGGAAATGCATCATGAAGTAAATTCAACGAAAACATTATCACGCTACGATATTTTCACGTCTTTTGATCTCCACTATACGAAAGAACATACATTTTTTAGTATGTATGGGGAATTTCTAGTTAATCCAATAATAAATATGGCAGTTAGAGGCCTGCTAAGAGTAACATGTCGCCGGCTGAGGCGGGCTCGGCCGATGCGGGAAACGCAGCAATCACAATTTTGTGTTTACACGTTCATATTTCAATTGTTTACCAACCGATTTTCAAAATTCTTTCACCATAAGATTGCCTGTACATTTCTTAGTCTTCTCACAAAATTTGACGCGAATCGAAGGTAATCAGCGGTAGGGAGCGCGATGTAAAGACGGAACCGTTCCGTTCCGTCCCGGCACAGTCTACAATTCAGGCGGCGCGTAGCGGTCGGCGCCGGCTGCCGAGCCGCCGCGTTGCTGCGGCGACAGGATGTTCACTTTACACCGCTATTACTAGAACAGTTGTGAACCGATTTTCTTATTGCTTGCACGATGAGATGCCCAATTCAATTCTTGACAGGTAGCCATAATTAATTTCGCATTAATCTTATGAGATATTGGCAAAAAACAGGAGGGGTGGGCGAAATTTGTTCTTCCCCCTCCACTGCGCGTGCTAACATACGTTTGCATATGTGCAATTTTCTTCAAAACTTATGAATGGCCCACTCTAATTTTTTCACAGGTTGTTAAGAATATAGTAGGCAATAAAATATATGAAAATGAGCCAAATCGAAGGTGACGTGTTTTTTGCTATTTCAATATTTGTGCTTAAGAACAGAGTTAAGCAAATTTCAAGGTCATATATTTAAATTAGTGCAGTTCTAAACAAATGCTTAAGAAATTACCTAAACAGTAAGGTTTATTTCATTCAAATCAAACAAGTACAACCAAAGTTATGGTCGTTCAAAAATATAAAGATGCAACATTTTGTAAAAATTTGATGCCCTATATTTAGAAGACCTGTGGTCAGAATGTGCAAAAAACATCAATGTAATGTCCGGAGCCACACAGGAACTCGCTCACAAATTTATAATGAAATCGCTGATGGTAAGGTGCAAAACAGCCGATTTTTGTTCGATTTGACGTGGAATGCCCCGGCAGCAGCTCGGGCAGCTGCGTTCAGACCGTCAGCAGACCACAGAGGAGCGATCCACTCCGCAGTGCCCGTGATATCACCCGAGGTCAGCTTTCATCGGGCTTTATTTGACTGATTTCCCGGAGAGAGGTTTACGAGCGCGTTTGCATTACGCAGCTGGTAATTGCGGTTTGATTTCCCGTCTTTACTTCCGGGATATTTCGAAATAATCATTGTTTATTACATACCTATTTCAAAATTATTCAAATAGCAGCTTCTTTTTTAAGCTAGCTGCTTTCGAAAGACAGCTGAAAGACGTTTGACCACGGACCATGGGTGCTACTTTGTCGGCAATGTGAAGCCCTCCTAAGCAGTGCCGTCCGTTGTTGGTGAACTACGGCCCATTCGTCGTGCACTCGGTTACATTTGCGCTAATCGCTGGCGAATCGAGTGTGTACCGCTGGCGAGTCAAGTGTGTGCCGCCGGTGACCCGGTGGCCACCGTATCAAATGTCGCGGCGCTTTTACTGGAATTGTCGGGTGCACACAGCGCGCGGCTGTCCGGCTGATTTATTGCATGTAACCGACCCCGCTGAACCCCACTGTTGCGCTGCCCCTGTCGCCAAAATGAGCCACGGCAGCTGCAAATTACACCCCTGGACGGCTACATCAGCGAATTGGCCTCCAACTTCGGCATAATGCATCGCCACTGTTAATAGAAATAACACAAAGTGCGCCATGACTTGAGGGCACTTGAGGACTAGCTTTGAATGCGTTCTGTGGTTCTTGGTGATTCACATTGATAATGCGGCTGAATACGC